GATGGCCTCCAACCTAATAGCGATGTCCTCCAACCTAATGGCGATGGCCTCCAACCTAATATAGCGATGTCCTCCAACCTAATAGCGATGGCCTCCAACGTAATAGCGATGGCGATGGCCTCCAACCTAATAGCAATGGCCTCCAACCTAATAGCGATGGTCTCCAGCCTACTAGCGATGGCCTCCAACCTAGTAGCGATGGCCTCCAACCTAATAGCGATGGCCTCCAATCTACTAGTGATGGCCTCCAACCTAGGTTTATTTGCGCTTCGGCTTGACTTAAGGCGCCTATGTGCGCCTTGAATGTTCCTAGCTCGCTTCAATCTTTTTTCACAGAACATCGCAGAACACTTCTGCATCGCCAGCCAACCTGCCACCAAAACCCTTGAACATACAGAGCATATCAGAGCAGGGCCCGTTAGAATTGAAACTCGCCAACAAGAAGCAACAATTCAAGTGAGCTATGGCTATAGCCATTTCCAGATATCAAAGTCAGCAAAACTACACGTTCGGTCTTGAGTCCGCAGGCATTAACAGACTGCAAACATTCAATCACCTGCCCTTTGAAACCATTTACATAAATTAAATTTGACTATATTTAATTGATGGTTGTACATAGTCTAGTCATTTATCCCTCTCATGGCTGCACTAACTCTCCTACTTGTGGTGTTTCGAAGGAATTGATATTGGGGTCAGACCCACCTGCAAAGTCAAAGGCGACGCCTCAGCGTTGGACAACTCGCTTGTTCCACTTAAAAATAAGAACCCGCGGTGCAGCGCTCTCCAAGCTCTTGCTGCAAGCATTCGGAGTGCAACAATAGCCTATCCATGTTGGTTCCCCAAACACAAATGCTTCTTCTCGCCCTGACTACACGCACAAGTGATGCCGCAGGAAACAACAAGACTTGCCACGCATCCTTGCGACACACTCGGGGAAAGTACATATCGTCGATGGATCACCAAAAATCACCGAAAATTGGAAGCGCCAAAACTCTGCCTGCCGGTCGTTGAACCCGGGTGCATGGGCTGCTCTCACCACAAACTATTTGGAGGCAGAGGACATACAAAGCAGAACAATAAGGAGAAAGATAGAACCGCAGACATTGCCGTGGAAGAGCATTTTCTAGGAGCCAATGTTTTTCTTATTATCGTTAGGTCCCTATGCACGGCATTGATCATACAGTTTTCTCACTTGCATCTTCAGAAAAAAGAAACAACACATATTATAGCCATAGCAGACCCTATCACACATGGAATGTGTAAGCACCAAATAATGCCTTCCGCAGGCTGTCATGTTGGCGTGTACTGTCACTCTTGCAATCCAAGTGGCCGGCAAACGCACATTTTGTGGTTGAATTGAGCGTTTGTGCTCTTCTATTTTGGACAACACATTTGCTTTGATTTGATTGCATTGGGAAGATGTGTATACAACATTATACAACGAATATACAGTAAACTCTTGACGACCAATACTGCGAGCACTCCCTGTCTTTTGTTTCTGCTTTTCTCTCACCTATAGTATGCTCTCTTTCAAACATTGCGCGACATGGACAGGTGTGGCAACAGTTTTGAGTCTCGAGTTGTTTTTGTCTCATGTCTGAGGTCAGGAGTAAACAATGACATGTTCAATCTTTGTCAGGACTGGGCAATTGCGAATTATCGAGTATCAGTGTCAGATGTTGTGATGCCCCTTTCAGATCTTCAGTCATGGCAGCCTGTTGTGCCAGGTTATGCCAACAGTTTCGGCCATGCTTTTGTTGACATATCCCTTAAAATCCCTGTGTAGATTATTTACAACCACTCGGAGCTGTTCTGCAAAAGGACAGGCACAAATTGATGGATTTAGCGCAGTCTCTGATTCAGTGAGCAATACATGGCAATGCGTCACAATACGCCGACAGATGCTAACCGGCGAACCACGAGCCAACAATCTGAGAGCCAATGAACCGACATCTGGAACGAGTTAAATGAGTCGGAAAGTGTGTGAATGTATCCTTGAGCTAAAGCTTCCCTGCCATGGTGTCGGCGGGAGAATTCTGCTTCTACAAGAGCTCGACGCACGGCTGGATCCCAGCTAAGGCCATGTTCATTTGTTCGAGGTGTTTTATGTGTCAAGTAGGTCATTGGGATCCATTGGGTGGAGTCGTTCTGGTTGTCAAATGTCGTCAGGTCCTCTCTGCTCGCGGGGATCACACCTGCGATTTGGACGTGAAGCCCAATGCAAGTGTGCGTTCCCGAGATTGCGCATCAATTGAGAGTCTTGGGGAGATGGAATCCGGAGAGGTTCGTGCGGTATTGTATTTACAGGTATTGGCAGTCTCCTTGTTTGTTTAGCACGATTTAATGCAACATTAGGATTTGTGGCAAGCCTCCTCGACATGAAATTTAGCAGTGGAGTATCAATCATGAGAGCGTCAATTCAATGGTTGCTGAAGAGTGGGCAGCAAATCTCGGCGGCACTAGTCTAGCATGGCTTTGGTCCGGTGATTGAGCCAATCAATGGGGCTGGCCTGCGATGATGCAGTATTGTTGCTCTGTTTGGGCGTTTCCATTTCACATGCACTGACACTCAGGTCGACAGCATCTTCAGATTGTTGGATGGTGTGGTGGCTCCTTGGCTAAATTGTCTGCCCAGTGTTACAAGAGATTGGTAGAAGAGGACAAGAGCTGCTGTATATTTACATTGTCGCCTCTGAACAGCGTGGTTCATGAGTCTTGTTTTTGGCCTCACTGGACAAGAGTCGGTCTGAACCAGTCATGAGTCATGTGTTTGAGGCAGGCTTGTTCTTCTTTCAAGAGATGTTTTGCCTCAAACATTTTGGGCCAATCAGACGCTCTGTGAACTGATTTGCTGGATTGGAACCGTCGAGGTCGAGTACCACAGCCAATCCTTGAACAGTTGGATTCCAGCAAGGCTAAATCAGCTGGGGAGCACCAGGATCGTGGATATTGATCAGTTGGGAAAAGCTGGCAAAAGGTGCCACTTGTACTTTAAGAATTTCTAAGTCATTCATGGATTCATGTACTTACCGACCTATGATGCTATGATGCTGATACGTGTCGCCGACATCGGCATGTCAGCATTCTTCTACCAGCTGATTTCCACGCAAACACTCGTGTGACCAAGACCTGTGACTGTGACGGACAAGACTCGTAACAAGAAGCTACTAGGGGCTCCTGGCATCTCTACTAGGAGCAAGGACGCTACTAGGGGCTCCTGGCCTTGCTAGTAGTAACAAGAAGCTGCTATGTTTGACTATGGCAACGCCCTCTATATGTGCTCCATTAATAGATGCTCCATGCCTGTTTGATTCCTCCCAACTTCAGGGTGCTGAACAAAGCTGATGACGGTAGCTTCGATTTGGACTGCAAAATGGCAGTCTGGGACCTGGCGATGACGATGTGTGGTAAGCAGTTTGCCCGGAGTATTTGGGTGTGTGTTTCTTTGCACGCTTTGAGCAGCGAGACTGTGTCACTTCTTTTCTTACTTTCATGTTCCCAGCCCACACAAAGACGGTTGATATTTGCAAAACTATAGAAAGTGTTGAGTTGGCATGTCCCTCTTGCCTTTGTGGTGCACTGGCAACGGATGCAGACAGACGCTGCAGATGAGATATAGGCAAAGTATGTACTATATAATGTTGGAATTATATATTTATACACAATATACAGCAATATGTTGCGCGGCTGCGAGATATATTAATTCATAGGAAACATGTAACGTGGACGTTTGAAGGCCCCAGATCCCTCATGTATAGTTTCCTGTAACAATGTCAACAAAGAGCTGAGCGAACCCTAGATCAAGAAAATGTTGCCCTCCTAAAGACTATCCAACAGAAGTATCAGTCCGGGAGTTGCGGTTTTCCGCACCGGATTGCTATATTCAGCCATTGTTTCAAGTGCGACTTTTATGATTGAATCAAAGTCAAACACGACCTCCAAAAAAAATTCGGGTGTTGGCAGGTCTGGAATGAAAAGAGAGACGTGACATGCCTTACATGATTTGTGGCAACTGCAGTGTCAGGAGCAGCATTCCATTCCAGATTTGTTGTGGCGGAGAATCACAGTAATCAAATGTAATCAACACTCAGCTTGACCAGAACCTGTCATTGTACTTGTCATATATTGTCATAATGCTTTTTCTTGTGTTGCACTTTGTGCTGTCGTTGGGAGCTGTGTTGTTGGGAAAGCAAGGCACCATCTAAATGATTCTAAATGCAACTTCTGCCTGGCAGCTTCAAGTAAGTTTCCCCAAAAATCTAGGAACCAAATGAATAGTGCTGCGAGCGCTTCTTCAAGGAAGCGTGAGCTATCCTGCGTCCGGTAGGTAGTAGCTACAAGCTGCCCCGCCCTTGCTTGATTAAGTAGGCGCCAGCGGGCTGAAAAAAGAAGTTGCCAATTTTCGCATATTGGGGACTTTCAAGTCCCAGGTTCCCATCACAAAGATTCGGCCTCCACCAGATGCAAAAGGAGGCACTGGTGACAAGTGACAGATGTGTGTGTGTGTGTGTGTCGCCCCCTGGACAAAGGGTTTCCTTTCATGACCTCTGCTGCCACATGTCCACCAAAGTTTCACCAGCAGGGGAGTGGAGCAGGCCTGCAGAGCTCCACTTAACAAAGCTCTCTGCAGTGTCCTGAGGATATCGGCCAGGACGCTGGCCGACGTACCTGCTCGTTCTTTCACAAGCTGTTACACCACTCTTCCGCGTTTTGTTTCATGGTCCTTCGTGTTTCCTCCCCCCAAACCTTTTCCTCCCCAGCAGCGCAGCAGCTTGAGCCTTTTCGTCACCGCAGTCAAGGGAAACAGCCATTGTTCAAACACCTACAATTTTTCTCGGACTTTTCGCCATGCCCTTCCATCACCTTCCTTCTCAACGTGGTAACTGAGTTAACTGAATACAATTGTCAGAGTGTGTTTCGCTCAGCCGTCCCACTCGGGTGCTGAGTGTGATCCCCGTCACTGGGGCGCTGTCTCATCGTGCAAGCACTAACTGACCTCACCACTCTTCACAGGAATCCCACAGGAAGTCACCTACACAACCACCGAATTAACTGCAATCAAGGCCGCCGGGCCCCACCACGGGAACTGACTGTCTCAGAGTGTGCCGTTTTTGCAACGTTTTTGCAAGGTCTTTCTGCAGGTTTTTTTCCGCATGTTTCTGCATATGCGCTCAAGCAATCCGACTTGACTTTCCAACAGTTTAATTCGATGTGCATGAACACACCATCACATACCACACTCCACATGAAGACAACTCTCACAGCTCCGCAACCACACACACTCACCATCAGCACAAGCATTACGATCTCTAACTCGCATGATTCCAACACTTGCAGTCTCCGCTGCCGCGCCGCGCCCTCGCTGCCGCCATTTTGAAGACCTCGCTGCACAGCTGTGACGATTTTCACCAACCTTTTACTGGACGCCTCATGCAGTACCCCTGGCCATATTCACAAGCCACACCACCCCCACTGCCCGTCGCACCAACACAACCACCACAACCGACAGCACCTTTGCCACAGCCACATACCACACCAGCATTTCCTTACCCACAACATCAACCATACCCGGTACCACAACATCAGACTTTTCCAGCTCCACAACCTATGTCGCTTCCAACTCCACTTCCACTTCCTTTTCACTCAGCACCGACAGCTGCACCTCCTTATGGCCACCCCTCCACATGGACAATGTTACACCCTTCTCAGCCGCAACTCACACTGCCAAAACCCACGTTTCAACCACCGGCACCACCCCCGTCCTACCTTGTGCAACAACTGCACCACTCCCCATCTACAGACCACGCCACCGCCACCCCGATTCAACCACCTCCCCCACCTCAGCAAGTACTTTCAGCTACCACTCCAATCGAACCCCAGTGGCACATGCCACAAGGGGTCTGGCAACCTTATTCAGCTTTTCCCCCAGTTACACAACCCTTACATCAACTTCCATCACAACCTCAATTAGCCCTCAGCGACTCACCGCAGATTCCACCACCACACCAGCCACCAGATCCCACCACTCCAGCTCCCAATCAAACTGCCACAGCCACCGGTTCATTACCTTCTCCATCACCATCCGTCGCATCGGCCCCACCGGCCACAGTGGCCCCAGAACCCACCACCGACATACCAGACAACACTGCTTCACCAGCCCCGCCATCTCCACATCCACCTCACAGCAGTCGCCGCCACCACCACCGGGGCCGGCGTAAGAGCGACCATCACCGAAGCGGCCGCCACAGACACCGCCGCCGCCGGCGACATCGCCACCACTCCAAATCCACCAGACATCACAGTTCCTCCTGGCGACACCGATCGCCAACCACATCTACTTACTCCTGCTCCTCCACACCTTCGCGCAGCCGCTCCAGACAACCGATCGATCTACGACCCAATACCGATGCCTCCACAGCAGACAACACCAACACTGACACCCAAATATCCACTCACACCAACGGTCCGTCGACCACCCAACCGATGGCGACCCACACCAACCTTTCCAACTCTACCACCCAAAGAGCAAATTCTTGCCTGGCTCGATTTTCATGCCGACCAGCTCGACGCCTCCAACCGACCCCAACACCAATACCTTGCCAATCTCCTGTTTGACAGCAACATCACATACAAAGAACTCAATGACTTTCGACAATACACTTATGTAAAGTGGAATGAAGCCACCCAGCAATGGGATCAGTTCCAATACAACGCCATCTCACTACCTTTCCTCCACACCAAAGCCACCAACCCCTCACCACCACCCGTTTCCCGTGCCACTTCCACTCACAGGGAAGTTGCGCACATCAACGCCGGCCACACAGGCCCTGTCGGCAACATCACAAACATTCTACGACAAGGCCGCTTCCTACCCAGCACACTCCACTTTGCCAACTATCCCGGCTTTTTTGCTCAGGGTGTACGCACCACTCACAACCAGAACCACGATCACGGCGAATTTGCTCGCATTATCCACAACACCTGGCAACTCTCCAAGAACACCCACTCCCTCATCATCACGCTCCTCGCGTGGGGCGCCGCCACGAAATACACCTCTGGCGGCGAGGAACATGCCATGACCCTTCTGAACGAGCACCACGGAGCCGTCTTTCACCAGAAAGGCAAATGCTGGGTCATCCACCCCGATCACGCCATAGTCAAAGGACTGGCATGGTCCATCAACGCCACTCCACCAGATCATATATGACCCTTCCACATTCCACTACCAAGCAACCACCATTTCCAATTTTTGTTTCACCTGACCACACTCAACTTCGTCGCCAGCAGCAAAACACCACTTGCGTTTGCGCAGCGGCTTCAAGTTTTAATCTTGCATGAATCGTATGCCACATGCCAACCTGATTTTCACGCCGAGAGGTTTTCAAGGGAACTACCACTCTTCTTGTTGCACTTGGTACTTGAATTCATTTTCTTTGCGTTTTGGCCCGCTTGCTTGCTTAATTCATTTGCACGTTTCCGTCTTGTTGCGCTGACCATGCCAGCCGCTGTGCAGCTGATCGCCGCGCCGCAGCGACAAAGCGTGACGAACTACTTGACTTGTCAGCATCCCCACGTCATGACCAGCACCAACTCCCCTCCACACGACGACACCCATGCTTTGCTACACCAAACGACAGTGGCGCTTTCTCAGATTCACAACCTCCTCAGACAAGCGACCGACATCATGGCGCATCTTCATACACGCTTTTTGCACCACATTGGACAGACAGATCCCACTTTCCGCCGACATTTTCAACAACTACCACCACCACCAACATACTCCATCAACTTACCCTCTCCAACCTCCTCCTGTGACTCTGCACCCTCCAGACCACGCGTTCGTCCACCACCACCACCCTCGAACAACTCAGACGACACACCTTCTCCTTCCCCTACACCAAAGCCCCCACCAGCTCGCAAGCGCAAGCAACCACCACCACCGTCACTCAACCCACAGGCAGACTGGGATACCTGGGATGGTGACGCTGATTGTCGCCTCGTAGAGCTCAAAAGCAACCCCAAGCTTCGACCCAATTGGATCTTTGTTGCCCGACGGGTTGGATACTCCGTCGAGCAGTGCCAAGCTCGATGGAAAGAGCTCAAAGACCTACAGAAGCTACAGGACAACAAACCTCCTGAATCCACTTCACCGGCTGCCGACCCCGAGCAGATGACACCACCACCACCACCACCTAGCTTTTCTCTCCTCTCCGAACCACATCTCACCCACTCCTACATCACCGGCCAACACACCACCACCATCACAGGCAGACTTCTCACCCTCTCCAACAACGACCCCTCGATCCACACATGACGTGTCGCCACATGAAGCTTTACCACTGCAGCCGGCTGCTGAGCGAGCGCCCAGTGAGGACAGGCATCCGGAACCACATGATGACACGCCAATAGGCAGTTATTTCATTTGATCGGTTTCACCCGCTCTCTCCGGCGTGCCACAGGATAAATTCACCAGCATTTCTTTCCGAAGTTTAGATTTCTCGCATGTGAGCCTCCAGTTTTCAACTCTTACTGCGTGTCCAGTTGAGCTGATGATTGCCGTCCCCATGATTTTGCTCATGCTGTACTGAAGAACATCTTTGTGATTCACATTTTGTGTGTGTTTTGACCGGCTCACTCCAGTCCCGCAGCATTTACGTGACGCTCCGCACTCGAGCCCTCCTACCACCTTTCATGGCCTCTTCTCGTGATCGCACTCCAGCCAACAATACAGGCAATGAATACTTCTTACCAGGACGACCTCCCAGTTGGCTCCGTTTGTGCATTAGCACCCAGCCAGACTTCCACTCACTCAACTGCTCACTGGACATCCTTTTCCTGATTATCCAACACATCCGCCGCCGCCCACTTCACACAGAACCCATGCCGAACCAAACATACTTCCAAGATCACAGAGCATACAACATACTTTACCAACTACGACGGGACATGATGCTAATGGACCGCCTGGTCGACAGCATCTACCAAGCTCGACGCTTGCTCCAATTTGTCCCGGGAGAGCCTGGACTCCCAGGACAATATCGTATTGACCCCTCAGCACGACTTACCTCCAGCAACCTTGCCGCACTCCACAATACACCACCCGGTTTCCCTTTACCACGAGCGCACTCAGACCATTCACCTTCTTCGCCACCACGCACACCCCCTGAGGATGCACAGCGCTTTCTCCATTACTGGACTGGCCCTCCACCACGTGCCAACACTGATCCCGGCCAGACCAACGACCACCGTGCCAGAGAGCGCTCTCGCTCACGCGACGCCCATGCGGACTAACTCCCCAACCTCACCACAACAACACGCCTGCCAGCAGCCCTGCGCTGAAGACTTGCGGCCGGCCGCCATGCTCACTCCTCCACTTGAGAACACCTTTCCGGCCGCGATTGCTGATCCATATGTTTCGTCTCACCGACAATCCACGGCGAGCCCAGTTGACAAAACGTCAGCATTGGCAGTTC